TTCGCTAAAATACTGCACACATTGTAACATTGGTTGAACTTCTGCATCAGAACATCCACACTTAATGTTTCACATATACAGTTGCACAGCTCCCATCCCAGAAGGTAGTTTTCAAGCCCTAGGAATTGGGCAGTTTTGGGGATCAGGTACCTGGCTGCAGCTGGGATGGGGATTAGGTCATTCTCCCAACTCCTTATAAATTGCAACCCTGGGATCTGAATACAGTCAGGGTCAGAGTGTTTTACCTTTATATATTTCTTGTGCAATGTCTAAACATCAAGTTTGCCATCAACAGGATTGTAGTCCATATTTTTAAAAGGCAACCTGGGAAGTTCAAATGACAATAATAATTTACTACACAGGTTCCACATTAAGAGGAATATACTGTATACATTGGGTTTCAATAAGTCCCTTTCCATTGACATTCTTTATGATACCAAACTGCACAAGATTCTCTCCAGAGAATCTAGCAAGGCCTCTCAAAAGCATCCGTTACTATGCTACTATTTGAGATTAATATGAGGTGCTACTTCTGCTAACTTGCAAAGCCAAGTATTTTGATTTAACTAGGAAAAATAGATTGCAGACCACCCATAATTAGCAAAATAATTGGTGTAAGACTGAAATGGTGTTTTGAAAAATGGACCATACAGAAAGGTCAGTACAGATTAAGTATCCCTTATTTGAAATAGTTTGAACTAGAAGTGTTTTAGATTTTGGATTTTCTTTTCTGGATAAAGGATACCCAAGCTGTAGTTGTAGATTGTATATAGTACAGGGCTTTTTCAAGTTTAATCCTGAAGAAAAAGGATAGAATACAATAAAGGCTCAGAAGATGGTGACCAACTTAACCTCCTTGACCTTCCAAATATCAAGATAGCTATCAATTTCAAACATGGCTATTGTCTCACTATAGTAGAGAATCATGTGCATTGGAGGAGCATCTGAAGACAGACTTAGATGTGGGCACTCTGCTTTGCTTGACATAACTTCGCTTCATGGAGCTTTCTGGTAACAGATATTTTTTGAGGTTTTGTAGAGCATGAAAGTTACAATAGTACTGTTCCAAATTCCATGTGGCACCCTAAATCAGTGTGGAGATAAGCATTAGAGTTGTTCACGGAACTATTTTCCTTCGGTACATCTGTTCTTTCATTACTTTTGTTATCTTCAAGAGCATGTAACAGAAGGCCCCTTCCGCTATAAAAATCAGCTCGATACGAAAGCAGATGGGAGATGATCCCAGCTCCTCACCTGCTTTTCATGAGTATGTGGCACTCCATGCCTTAGAAAGAGTGCATGTGTGGCATTCAGGCCCAGAAAGTGCATATGTCTATCTGTAGTCAAGTGCCTCCTCTAGAGTAAGAAACAGGACTTGCCTCCTTGCCTTGGAAAGAGCATGCGTGTGGTGTACAGGCCCAGGAGAAAAAATGTGCATGCCTGCCTGCAGCTGAGCACCTCTCCTCTAGAGTAGAAATAGGTAAGAAGCCTCCTTAAAGCATGCACCTGCCTGCAGCTTAGCACCTCTCCTCTAGTCTGAAACAACTTAACTGCTGAAAAGGATGGAAAGGGGAGCCTAGGAAGTCCCCACCCCCATAATGGGCCAATAGAAAATCGATCTTTCAGCACCCCAGAGTGAAAACATATATCTGCCCTCCTGATTTCGGGAGGCTCTCAAAAATGGATTGGGCCCCCCCCAAAAAAGCCGGGGCATGAAATGGGTCAAGGTTTATCCCAAATGCACAAGCCTAATAAGCATACGAGAACACAAATGGGCAGCCTTCAACCCATAGGCAGCAAGTGGCCCCTTTTTGTATCTTTGAAGACCTCTGGACAATTCAAAGTCCCCAAATGCCCCTTCCCCCAGTGTAATTTTTAAAAAGTGTATATTTCCCAACCCACCATCAAAATGTACCACAACGTGGCAGCTTGGAATAATTTGCCCATCAGTGACCATGCTTCCCAACCTGGACAAATAACACAAAGTTGGCTGAAATCAAATTTATTTATTTATTTATCTGAGTCAATTTTAGCCCCACTTTTCTCCTGCAGCAAGGCGAGACTCAAAGCCGCTAACAATACAATAAGAACATACAAAGTAAAAATTAAACTAGATTAAAACTCAAAAAATTCCTTATAGCAATCTGATCTAAAACAGTCAGCAATAAAACCCTATTTACAAATATAACATAAATATTTAAAACAACTACTCCATTGGGAGCCAAGTTCCTGTACTCTTGGAATCTAGAGAAACAATTTCTGAATCATAAGGAATTTAACTCAGTGGCCAAATAGGGATGGGGAGGAAGTTGGCTGCCATTCTCAGTGCAGTTGTTCATCTAGAAACTGAAGTTTGTTGCCTTCCTAGTCCATAAAAGGATGAGGCATCTCTGGCTGGAGGCTTTCATCTTTCAGCCTTCCAGCTCCTACTACTTCATATTTTTCTATTTTAATTTTTTTTCATCCCACATTGCTAGGAACAGAGCCAAAGAAGTAGCCAAATGAGTAGATGAAATAGTATCATATGACATGAAAGATGAGTGTAGAAGTTTGGGATGGAAATATTCACTTATTTCATTCTGCCACACAGGAGCCCCTGGTGGCACAGTGGGTTAAACCCTTGTGCCGGTAGAATCGAATCTGGGGAGAGTGTGGATGAGCTCCCTCTGTCAGCTCTGGCTCCCCATGAAAGAAGCCTCCCACAAGGATGGTAAAAAATCGGAACATCCGGGCATCCCTGGGGCAACGTTCTTGCAGATGGCCAATTCTCTCACACCAGAAGCGACTTGCAGTTTCTCAAGTTGCCCCTGACATGAAAAAAAATCCTCCACACAAGAAATGATATTTTCAAAGAAAAATGTTATCTTGCTTGGGTGTAGGTTTGCCACAGTCAGAACTGAAGAGGGCTTCTATACCTTTAGTATAGAAGAGGAAATTTCAGCAGATGTTGCTTTTACCTGATTGTGCGATAAGCAACACCTGCTGAAACTCCCTTCATTACACATCATTAAAAGTGTCGGAGCCATCTCTACTTTTCAGTCTGGCAATTCTAATTGGATAAATTTATGAAAGGTTTTGCACATTTTCAAATGATATTTTCTTTTCCAGGGTATTCTGTGAAACATTAGTTGGCTAAATATCTTGGGTTTTTGTGCCAAATTAAGCTTTCCTACAGAAGACAATGTCTTTTGCATACAATATGCCATTTTCTGTACAAAACTATTTTCTGTGTAAAAAACTAAAAGATTCCAAATAAATGTTTGCTTTTCCACCAAGATCCCTAAATTATGATCTTTTTAAAAGTTAAGGTTGACAGAAGGAAAACTGGAGATGCTCCTCTACCTTTAATGGCTGTGTTAGGAGACAATTTTAGCACCTACTGCTTGTCATAAGCAACACCTTCTGAAATTCCCTTTTCTATAAAACTATTAAAGGCACAAGAACTTTAGATTCCAGAAGTGGTGACCAACTGACCATATCATGAAGATATGGTCAGTTTCAAAAGAGATATGTGTTTCAAAAAAGTCAGCATAGTGTAGAGGTTTGACCATAGGACTATGACTCTAGTGGCCAGCTTTTGAATCTCCTCTCTGTCATGAAAACCCACTAAGTAACTAAGCAAATCATATGTTCTTAGCCAAACAAACTTCCGTAATGGTTTGAGGACACACAACAACAAATATTTTTCAATTTGTTGAGGCACCCTTTCTTGTCATGAATAAGAAAATACGTGTACATTTATTTCAGGGGTCTGCATGATATCAGGTTGCTGTTCCGTATTGGGGAATTTGGTCGAATTGACAGCAAAATCCCCAGAAATGGGGTGGGTGAGGGCAGCCAAATATTCCCAGAGTGAAAACAGAACTTTTGGATGACTGATCAGGAAACATTATTTTCTCACTCCCGATTTTGGGATTTTCCCAATAAATGGGAGGGCAGAAAATGGGGCTGAAAATGGGATTTTAAAAAATCAATTGCACACTCCCAGTATATTTAGTGGAAGCAGAGATGTGGTAAAGAGGGCAAAGAAGAAATTATGGTCAGAATCCTGTTGAACAAAAAATACAGCAGTAAAATTGGACTGTATTATTTTCTTCAGCACATAATAAAGAATGCAACAGAGTGAAATTGGGCTCAAAATTTGGCTGAAGAGAAATGCATCTATTTTCTATCCCAATAAGATTCTCTTGGTTCTCAGAGTCTAGCTGAAGAGCTTTCCCCCATTGTTAATATTTTGATGCAACGGATGCATTGTGAGCACCGGATGCATTGTGAGCACTAATGGATTTTGAGCACCATTGTGAACTTTGCGATGTTTTTGGTAGGGTTCCTCAGCTGTTATAGTGTTTACCTGAGTAGACAGTCTTGATCTGAGACTGGTGGGAAGAGGCTTTGGCAAAATACATGCAAATTAGCTGTTGAGAAAGAGACATTTTGAGTTTCAATATGGCTTAAAAACAAAAGTGTAGCAAAATGCAGGGATGAAGACATTGCTCTCCAAATAAAAGATTCTCATTCGCCCACGAAAACATTCTTTCAGTCTCCAAACTTTTAGCATTGTAGGAATTTCAACTGTCCACTGAGCCTTTAGAAATTGCATTTCAAGTGTCCAAAGAAAAAACCGGGCAGACAAAGTTAACAAGTGAATACAAACATGGCAAAAGCTAGGTATTAATCATGATCACTCTCTGAAATGCTAGAAATACTTCTCAGAGTGGCAAATCTGCCATTAGGTCGCTGTTTGTGAAAGGTGATAGTAGGTATTCATTGACAAAAAAAGTTCAGTAGCTGATTGGATGCATGCAGAATCTCAAGTTGTTTGTTTATTTAGCTGCTGAATTTTACTTTTCCATAGTACTGTCTGGGAAAAGAAGAAGACAGAGAGTTCCTCTTCCATTCCTCCCCCTTTCCTGCTTTGCCTTGGGTCTTGGTGGGAGAGACTGCCCCTTGAGTGACCTGCTTTTGATAAGCTTCCCAGTCAGATCACATGAGTGAACCGTGCTCTTTCTCCCCTCCCTCCCTTTCTTTTCTCTCACTGGCTGGCTCTCTCTTTCACTCACTCTCTCGCTGCCTGCTTTCTCTATAGTCAAAAGCAAGGATCAGATTCTCTGCCTTGACTATAAACATTCTTGGTGAGAAAATTCAAAGGGAAGAGCAGGTGCATTGAGAAGGAGTAGAGGAAGATCCAAGGCTCAGTGTGGGAGGAAAAAAGTCCATCGTTTCAAGGAGGGCAAGAAAAAAGAAGTGGAAAACCACCTCTCTCACAGAGCCAAGGTGCACCAAAGCTCAGGACTCATCGCTGAGAGCAGAAGATAGTTGGACAGAGACAGGAGATTTTCTTGCTACTCAAAGTAAGTACACATTGGTTTGGCTTATTAAAGTCTGGCATTTACTAGCCCTCCTACCATCCATCTCCACCCCAACCAAAAATGAGAAAGTTGGGCAGAGATGCTAAGTTAACGCCAGGTTGATTTTTCTCTTGTGATACTATTTTAGCTTAAAAGGTTTTCATGGGTGGAGGAAGTTGATCGAGTGAAAGACACTTTGAGTTACTTGAAGATGTGTTTTTTGAATGGTGCTCTTCTGTCTAATGATGGGAGTGGTTGGCATCCTCCGGAAAAAAAAAAAGACTTGCAAAGCTCTGAATGCCATATAGCATGCAATTCATTCTTCATTTGAGGAAAACTGAATATGGTTTGAGCATTCCTTATCTGGAATCCTAAAATCCTCCAAAATCTGAAATTGTCCACATGGATGACAGATAGTTTTTGATAGTTCAACATACACAACCTTTGTTTCATATGCAACATTGTTAACAATATATTATATGAAATTACTTTACTGCTATGTCTATATGGTACGATGAAATATAAATTATTTTTGTGTTTATATCCACATCTAGTCTCCAAGATACTTCATTATGTATATATATGCAAAATGGCTATACCAAAATTGAAAATATTAGTTCCAAACATTGGAATAAAATTTATTCAATTTGTATTAGGATAGTACACCTACTAGAAGTACTGGTTTGTATCAACTCAAAAGGAGTCACATGAGGCAGGAATGTAAGTAGACTTCTTTAGTTCTTTCTCTCTTCTGTGTGTTTTTTTATGAGAAGGTTGCAAAAGAAATCAAAAGATCTATCTAAAAATCTATCTCCCCCCCCTCAGTATATTTTGAGCCTTGGTGGTATCATTGGATAGGGTAAAGAGTTGAGTGATGTGTAGAAGAACCTGTTTCTCCTCAACTCTTAATTTGGAAGAGTGTATGTCCTTGTGCCCAGCCTTAAGCAGAGGGTGGAGCTTTCCTTACTGTCATCAGTACCAGTTCGTGTTGGTTACTTTTCCTTCTGCTCTGTTGGATGCATTGACATTTATATGCTGATGACAACATGCTTACAGAGTATTGGACTCAGAATGAGTTTTTCTGGTATAGCAATGTTAAATCATAATGTTCTGCTTCTTTGGTTCTACTTCTGAATCTAACTTGACAAGAAAGTTTATATAGTGCAATGCTATTATTGGTATGAAGGCCAGAAATTTACTGTAACAGGTTTTTCTTTCCCGTTCATATCTCAAGCTTCTTGGAAATAGCTCAGGTGAGCGTATGTATATACATACTAGAGATCAAAAGCATATTTGTAAACTTTCTTGCCTTCCCCTTCCACACACACACACAAACACGCACACTTCCCCTTTTCCCATAGAATTCAAGATGGCTAATATGGGTATTCCAAGCACTCTCCTATCCAGGGCATTAACTAGCTTCAGGTCTGCTAGCCTTAGGGTGGTAGCTGCAGGTACTTTCAGGTGATGCTCTGGGAACAGAAAGTTACACGAAGGAAGTTATATATTTGTTTCTTAGAAGTTGTGGAAATAGCATGAAGGAAGGGAGAATGGAGTGGCTAAAAAGTTATAAACAACGTCAACAATATTAAAGGCTAAAGTTGAGTCTCCTGGGTTCCAGTGTGAAAACACTACATAAATAGTGTAACTGTTCTTTTTTCTTATTGTTATCATCCTGTTGTGTAAAGACCATCTGGGAGTTTAAGGCCGAGTACTTCTGGAATACTATGAAAAACATTACAGAGTAGTCACAGAATGTAGTTTGTCCTGCCATGGGTCTCCATGCAGTTAAAGAATTATAGGAAGAACAAAATGATTTGAATGCAGGGGTGATTTGAATGCAATATTCCAGCTTCTTGGCAGGGGGTTGGACTGGATGGCCCATGAGGTCTCTTCTAACTCTTTGATTCTATGATTCTATGATTCTATGAATGAGAAAGTCAACTAAAGGTGATTTTATCCAGAATTTTTTGAACCAACTGGCTTTGTGGATTCTTTAACAAGCCTCAAGATTTTGTGTAGTAGTATTCTTGAAAAGCATCAAACAAAACCAGTCAAATTACCCACCCACGCTGTGGCATTCATGTTAATTAAAGTGGACTGGTTCCTGGAAAGATCAAATATCTGAAGTTTGAATAATGGATTCAAGCTTTCTTATCCAAAAACTGTCCAATTTGGTCTGGAAGCAGTTGCAACTGCAATTGCCCCAACCAGTCCTCATCAATCCCCACACTTGGAAACAGTTAAAAGAAAATATTGGCATGCATTTCCTGCCCACTATTGTTGCATTCTGGGTATTACCCCCTTTCTTGGAACTGAACAGCCAAATCAGGATGTTGTTTTTCAGGGATTCTGTTTCATCATTGGTACTCTGATTTCAGAGCACATCACAGAGTTCAATTAAAATCTGGTTTGATGTTTTAAAATTAGGGTTGCAACAATTAGGGCATGCATACATTCTCCTACATTCAGAGAAAAAAAACCCAGAGATGAAAATCTGCTGCTATTTCCCACTTTCAGATGTTTTAAATCTCAAATTCTTTGTAAGTACTTGCCAGGAATGAAACAAATGCAATGATCAGCTATCTGTACTGGCCAAATTCAACAGGAGAAGAGTGTATCATTTCTGCCTGGTATGTATCCGTTAAAGATAAAGAATGAATCAGGACAATGGTGGTGGTGTACCTAATTTAGTACACAAATGTGATTGAATACACAGTGATTAAAAACTATATAAGTTACTAGCTGTGCCCTGCCACGCGTTGCTGTGGCCTATAGTAAAACTTATCAAAGTTGAGGTAGATATCTGGACTATTATGAAAGAGAGGTACCTACCTATTCCTTCCCCCTTCTCCTCCCCCTTTCTCTCCTTTCTTCCTACCTCTTTCTTTCTTTCACTTCTTGGTTTCATCCTTCTCTCTTTCCTTCATTCCCTCCCCCTTTCTTCCTTTGCCTTTCTTCCCTCCCTGTTTGCTTCCTTCTTTCTCTTTTTATTTCCTTTTATTTCACCACCATCATAACAATAACAATAATGCAATGCATTGCCTCTGGGACCTGACACCTCTCCCATTCCCCCAGGGTCTAATAGGAATAATAGCATAATAATAATAGAAATAACAACCTTTACCCGCAACGTGTTGCTGTGGCCAACCTTCCCTCTTTCTCTCCTTCTTTCCCTCCTTCCTTCCTTCCCCTCCCATCTTTCCTTCCCCTCTTCCTTCTCTATCTTCTTTCCTTCCTTCCCCTTTTTTTTCTTTTCTGCTGTCTCTCTTTTCTTTCCTTCCATCTTTCCTTTTCTTTCCTTTTCTTTTTCCTTCTTTCTCTAACTTTCCTTCCTTCCCCCTTTTTCTTTACCTCCCTTTCTCTTTCTTCCTTCTTTCCTTCCTTCCTGTCTTTCCTAGATTTTGACAGGGCGGGAAGGGGCGGGGTGGGGTTTGGAGGTGGCGTGAAGTAAAAGGAGGTAAGATTGGGGTGGGGGAGGATGGAGCGTGGGGTTGCGTGTGTGTGTGCGGCGGCGGGGGGAGTGATGGAGCGTGGGGTTGTGTGTGTGCGGCGGCAGGGGGAGTGGGGTTGCGTGTGTGCGTGCGGCGGCGGGGGTAGTGATGGAGCGTGGGGTTGCGTGTGTGTGTGCGGCGGCGGGGGAGTGGGGTTGCGTGTGTGTGTGCGGCAGCGGGGGAGTGATGGAGTGTGGGGTTGCGTGTGTGTGTGCGGCGGGGGGGGGGGCGGGGGGAGTGATGGAGTGGGGGGTTGTGTGTGTATGTGCGGCAGGGGTGTGTGTGTGTGCGGGAAGCGGCGCGGCGGGGCTTGGAGTGGGCATGGTTTCCGCAGAGGGAACGTTGGCCGGAAGGGCATGTGCGCGCGCCAGGGAACTTGTGGCTGGGCGCCAATGCGCATGCTCAGTTGTTTTGCCGTTTTGTGAGTGTGTTGTTGTGTTGTTTTTCATTTTGAGTAGATACGTTTGTACCTTGTGGGTTGTGTTATGGGCATGGGAATTTTGGTTAAGTTTCGTTGGGGTTTTTTTGAGTTTTGTTTTTTGCCGTTTTGTGAGTGTGTTGTTGTGTTGTTTTTCATTTTGAGTAGATATGTTTGTACCTTGTGGGTTGTGTTATGGGCATGGGAATTTTGGTTAAGTTTCGTTGTTTTTTTGAGTTTTGTTGTTTTGCCGTTTTGTGAGTGTGTTGTTGTGTTGTTTTTCATTTCGAGTAGATATGTTTGTACCTTGTGGGTTGTGTTATGGGCATGGGAATTTTGGTTAAGTTTCGTTGGGGGATTTTTGAGTTTTGTTGTTTTGCCGTTTTGTGAGTGTGTTGTTGTGTTGTTTTTCATTTTGAGTAGATATGTTTGTACCTTGTGGGTTGTGTTATGGGCATGGGAATTTTGGTTAAGTTTCGTTGGGGGGTTTTTGAGTTTTGTTTCCTCGTTGGATGCCCCTAACAAATTTATATATATAGATAATATTTAAACATCCAGAACCCTGGTTAAATATGAAATTCTGTCAGTTTTACCTTCTCTTGCGCTGAGCATTATGTAACTTTATTTTTTCCTGACCAATGTATGTAGATTTTTTAAATTGTAAGTTCTTATGAAAACACAAAGGGCAAATAAAATTCTTACATTCCAACAAATGGCTACAAGGGGAGAGCAGGCCTCTGAGGACATTTGGAACAAGACCAATATATTTGCCTCCTGTCCCCTTCAAAAGTCTGAACCGTGGTTTGGTGACATAGGGTTCATTTACATTGGGTAGTTTATCTTGGTGTAAATCTGTCCCAGAGCATTTCCAGATCCAGCACATTTGATCCAGCACATATCCTGAGGCTGTTTTTTAGATGGCCCAGAACCACATCCACTTTGCTGGGCTCATCAGCCCTAGCCAGTCACAGAGCTCTCTGGATGTCTAACAGTGGCAGCAGCACAGGCAAAATCCATTCAAGAGTGATAAGCACAAAGAGAGGGTGATGGTGTGGGATTGCTATCTGGAAAGAAGATTGAGCTGAATCAGA